TCTTTTGCCCAACAGTGTTGAGTTCTTTTATCACAGCCGTCTCTGGATTTCCGAAATAGAGTCAAAATAATTTCCTTTCAGCGTCATTCTGACGAGTAGTGCTAACACTCCCAGATTTAAATACACAGATATACTTCATGAAGTGGACAGCAGGACAACCACTACCGTAGCTCATTTGGTAGAGCATCGGACGCATTATCGGAACGTTGCAGGATCGGTCCCTGCCAGTGGCGAGTTGTCTTTTTGTCCACTCCACATTTATACATTTCACATTTATACCACATTCTTCACATTTATACCATAATTACAACACATAACATCCCTTATACTTTCCTTGGTTTTATTGTCTGTTGGTTATCATAAGTATGTGTCTAAAGAAGAGAGCAGAGCGGGCCAGGGAACAAACGAGTGTTAGAGGGACGCGATTTTTCGCACATTTGTAAAGTACAATTTCGCAGCCCCGAAAGCTGTGACCAACTCTTGGCAAGCGAGAAAACGAGCGTCTTTCACTTCTCGTAGCCTTCTTTTCCATTCAAGCTTTCGATCTTGGTAAGCGAGAAAACGCACAAAAACAAAATGTGAGTGGAGACGCCACCTCGAGATTTCTGCACCAAATACCATGACGTCATAAATTTTGAAGGTGTCTACTGTGTCCTACATAGCTTATGTTCGGTAAAACTTGAATACACTGTCATTTGTTGAAGCCATAGACCTACTAGACCAAGTTTCAGAAAATTTTATCGAGCCAATGTCGCTGAAATACAAGAAATACATGTTGAATTTTTTGAAGTTGCGGGCAAAGATTTCAATGCGAAAGTTAACGATGAAACTTAAACCTTTATTTTCTCGGCTAATAATAAACTTATGACTCTAAAACCTTGGACCTTAAGAGTTGTCAGATTGCAGTTTTTCAATCTAAATCAAGTAGCTGTTTCTCTTCAGTGTACCTTTAGGGTCATCTTACCTGAAAGCAAAAGGAAGTTAAGGGCATGGGCAAGACATGTCGCACCGAGGTAAGGCAACTGTTGCTCATTACGAGCAACAGCCTGGATTACAAAAGAAGACCAGCGTGTGAGGGGAAGGCAGGAAGTTATGTGGGCAGACGAAATCAAAAAGTTTGCCGAGAGAATGTGGCTTCCGCAAGCACAATATTGAGTTCATTGAAGAAACAGGGATGAGGCTTTTGCCCAGCAGTGGCCCTAAATGGGCTGATGGCGACAAAGGTAACTTGCAGCACACCATGTCCAGCACAGCCTCGTTCTGCAGGGCCGCGATGAGGCACGAGTGATCGATGTGGCATCCTTGGAGGTAACCCTAGCCGAAGCAGAGACAAAAAATGCAACCCAATAAAAGACAATTTTCATTAAAGGACCGACAACTAGCGAGAACGTGTAATTAGATCCTAGTAGAAATGAAAAGAGCGTGAAGTATAGTCACTGATTTCAGCACTTTTTTTCCATTGTGAGTAGGATTTATATTTTTAAATCGTGCTTACAAGGAACAAAAGTCGTCATGTGGCATAGCCTAGAGGAAGAGAATTTAAGATGGATCTTGAAATAGGGAGTCAATCACTTTCCTGGGAATAGTTGCATAGCCTGAGGCTGTCCTGCGTGCCATTCTTCCAAATTAGAGAATGTATATTATTAAATAGCCCCGCTCGATTCTCCGCTACTTACGACGTAGAAGGAATCGCACAGTGAGAAACAACACTGCCATCGCAGCCACCAGAGGACCAAGTCGAGCTGCGGCACATGCAGGCTGAATGCATGCATGCGCAGTAAACCACTATGTTCGTGCACGAACCGCTCTCATGCTTACTGTTCGCAACATGCGAGTATACGACTTCATATTTGTTGTAGATTGAAAAATTCAGATTACAAATGTTTGGCGGCATTCCTTACACTGCCATTCCGTAGTTAGACTCACTGACTGATAAGATTTTCATTCCACACAAAAAAGAAATGGCACCATAGAAATTGGTTGTCAGTCCCGTCAAGGTGTAGTAAAGTCATGACGACAGGTTGCCCATATATGACGCATCAAGAGGCAAATCTAGCGACTAAGTTTAAATGCATTTGGTTATTCTTCTGTTTCTTCAATTGTTAAGCTAAAAAGAGACAAAAGTATCAGAGACAACAGCGTGTAACTCAAACATCATGCACAGAAATGAAATAAACGAAGTAAATTGGTGTAAAAAATACAAATTAATGTAATGGTTCAAGTAACATCTGGAGCTTTAGGTACTAAAATTACGGTAATGATTTTGAGACACACGGTAATAGAGGACACCAGAAATATTTCCAAAACTGGCACTTTTTAATGCGCACTGACAACACACAGCACATGAGACTCTATCAAAATGCGACCACTACAGCTGCAATCAAACCCAAGAACTTTGTGTCAGCAACCAAGCATTGTAACCACTATACAACCACCCAGTGGTTTTAACCTGAACGCAGAAACATCGACCATCGAGTCAATAAACCCCGATCCCTGGCGTCCCAGTATACGGTTTCTCGGAACAGCCTAGCCGAAGTCAGCAGCACAGACCTGTTCATCAGGCACATGCGTATATTCTCGTTCATTTCACCTCTGTGCTCCATTATGCAGCTTTATCAGCCGGGCAGTGGACGCAAGTGCGTCCAGGTTTGAAAACGAACGTCTGTACCTCCGAGGCCAACTTACGCGATGGTCTGGTTTGTGTGCACTGCAGTGTGATGCCAAACATTTCAAGACATGGCAAAAAAAACAACAACAACAAATTGTTGCTCTGCCTGCCAAGTTCTTCCTTCTCTGCTGTTCCTGCTAAAGTTTAGGCTGTGTACGATAATAATAATGAAAGGTACGCGTATATAGCCTAGAAATAGTGTTATTTTAAAGAGATTTTTTTAATAATTTTGCGTCCAAGTTGCTATCTCTAAGCAGAGACAACTGTTGCATGTTTTAACGGAACAGCATCCAGTCAACACAACTGCTTCTCAATATATGCATGTATAGACGCATCTGAAATTCACATTTGAACTTTGCTCTTGTTCATCTTGGAATACCAAGTTCATTATGAATACGGGTTCATTTATTTGCATATGATTGTGTTACCCGTTTAGTGTTTACGCTTTTCTTTGCTTGGGTGTTGAAGGGGCACGTAATCAATCATACATTTCAATAAATGAACAAATCTGGGCTAGCGCGCACATTTCATGCCATAAGTTCTTCTTAGAGCCATTAAATTGTGAGTTCACAACAGCGATGCATGCACAAGCAAACTGTATGTTCTCGTGTTATCGCGTTATCACGTTATCACCACAAGAAAACAATGATTTCAAGCCTCACGAACGGCATGCGCACGAAGGCATAGCCAAGAAGTGGCTCTCCGGGCCCTAGCAACCCCCTACGCCGACATTTTTATTCGTCATGCATACACAGTGAAAAATGACCATTCACCTGCCTGGCCTCCGCTTGATATTAAGGATGTGCCCCCCCTCCCTTTCCCCGAAAAACACTTCCGCATACAACCCTGCATGAGGATAAATGAATGCATGAAACAAAACCACGCGTAATCGTTTAGTTTATGTGCGTGGTGCGATTAACCTTTGAGCTGTCCGCGGCTTGATTCGGAATCTGGCCGAAATCAATCTAAAACGTACACCGACAGCTACGCCATGGTTATCGACCGTTAACGCAACAACTAACCGACGTTTTCAAGGTAATTACGCTTGACAAACGTTCTTTGTTTCTTGGTTTGTCGATGTCAGTTTTAAGGTGCAGGCGCTACTTGGGACACCGACACAGGCATGAAACTTCGTTGGCGCGATTAAAAGTGGCTCCGATAGACGATAATGAAGCAAACTTACCCATAGGTCACGTAAGAAATGATACAGGTAAAAATGAATGTCTGCCAAGGGTAATTAAGGCGCACAAAGGAAGGAAAGTAGAAGCGCAAAAGACGAAACCAGCGAGCACTTGCGCAACTGGATAACGCTCGAAAAGTGGCGCGAAGAACAACTGTCATAGATGACGATGATGATAGCAACAAATGTCAAACAGTTAAATTCTATAGTACGTTACATTTTTGTTAACGTTACACCTGAGCCTTTGAAAAAAAATTTATTTTTAAAAAACAAGAAGTAGCATTGCGCTAAGACGTGTAAGTAAGCCTATTAAAAAAAGTGTTAATGGTAATGTCACATAGAATGCATCAAGTTAGCAATGTAGTCAATATTTTTTAAATAGCATACTTAAAATTATTGCATGTTTTGAAAATGCGCATTTATTATTGTTTTCGCAGATGATCAACACCCAATCTTGAAGGCTACACTCTTCTTAACCCTTTATGGCCACGCAAGTTGATGATGAAATCCTTTGGTTATAACAGAATCACCTTCAAAATAAAAGCTAAAATTTAAATTAAATGTAGGTGATTGCAATGTTATGTGCTGTCACAAACTACTTTATTTTTATTTATTTATTTACTTCCTTGCGATAGCAGTATGCAGCTGTAGTTGATGCAATCGTCCAATAAATAAGTTAATAAAAAAATATGTAAGTCATTATCGTTCTCCACGCATGAGCGATTGCTGGAGCTGGAAAATATTCATTGAAGTTGAGTAATAGTTCCCAAGCAGAGGCAATCTCTGAGGCCATGTTTTTGTTTACAAAGTGTGCAATTAAGAGAGTCCATATCTATTTATTTTTTCTGAGCGTAAGCCTTGTTCTTCTATTTTTTTTACTTCTTCTTTGTTATATCGACACCTTATAAGATCTAACCTACGCCTCCTATTTCTCTTTTTTTTTTTCTTGCTTACGTGCCGATTTTCCTAAGAGCCGACCAATAATAATTCCTAGTATTAAAACTTCGATGGGCGCGCACTCACCTATAATTAAGCACCGGGTAATTTTATTCATTTCTGACAGCGTTGTCAGTTCGATTTTGGCACACGCGCACTCGTTTTCAACGCGAGCGTCCGTGCCGAAAAGTTTATGCACAACTCGAAGGCAACAGATAACTTTGAGAATAAACTTTATTAGGAACAACAAAAGTACGTATTACATGAACCATAACAAGTAACAAGCTTGGGAAGACAACAGACACTTTATTTATATCGCACGTGCTGCTTTGAGTGCGAACACCGGCCTGCATGCTCGCATCTTCTTTCATTCTTAATATAAGTCATATGTATGGTTAAGCATGCACTAGCATGATGCTAAAGATCCATGCAACCACTCGTGTATCCCCTGCACGTCTAATTTGATCAGCACATGAAGTTCAGTTCCTCCTTTGGCGAAAATCTGAGAAAAACTGGTGAAAGCGAGCTGCCAGATTCTTTCACGGATGGCGCCACCTCCGCATTAACGTTCGTGACATGCACGGAAAGAAACGCACCCAAGAAAACGACTCGAGTCGAGGAAGTTTCTTCTGTTTTACGCCGACTTCTTGTCCCCGCCCGCACTGGATTCATGACTGACTTCGATGGGGATGGGCTTGTTGGCGTCCTCCACTTTCTTGGGTCCGTTCTTGCGCGGAGCTTCGAGGGAAAGGTAGCCCGACGGATTGAGCTGGCACTTGACCGTCTCGGGGTCGACGTCTTCGGGCAGCACGTAGCGTCGGGTGAACTCGCGCTTGATGTAGCAGCCGCGGTCGTCGGACTTCTCTTCGTGCTTGCCGTGGATCACGACGCAGTTGTCCTGAGTCTTGACGGTGATCTCTTCGGGAGCGAAGTGCCGGGTGTCGACGTTGATGGCGAACTTGTCCGGAGTGCAGGCGACCGCCGAACCCTGTTGGGCCGACGTCTGGCTCGCGTCCGAACTCCCGCGGTTCGAAGGTACCACGTAGAACCGCTGATGGAAGAACGGCGGTTCGAACAACTCACCGTCGAGCAGGATTTGGCCGAAGTCGTCGTTGAATAAGCGACGCGCCAGCTCCGACGGGCCCCAGGAGTCTCGGTAGAGCAGCGGGAACAGAGCCATTTCTGCCGTCTACAAGGAGTAAACGCAGCTGACGAACAGTATTCGTAGCCAGAGACGCCGTTGAGCTTCAAAAAAATCTAGCCCACCGCGCTGCATCGTCTGCTTTTTATACCCTAGCGCCGTCTGCTGTGCAAAAGTTCTCGAAACATCCGGGACGTTAGCGCGACAGCGGATTGGTCGGCGCACGTCAGGTGCCAATATTGGCGCATGCATTTTTTATTTATTTTTTTGTCGTTTGCTACACGCTTTTGTTTGACACGAATGCAGACGTGACGTCGGATTGGCTGGATCGCACCACGTGATGTTGTTTGCGTCGTCTGCTACAAATTTGAACCGGAATGGCGACGACTGCTCGTCTGGAAATTTCGGGAAAGTCCGCGCAGCGGGGTATTTTTGTGTTTACCCTGTTTTTATCTGAGCGTCAGCGGCACGCAGTGCCAAATATACCGATGAGACGCTCTAAACGGGTGCAGTTAGCCGATAACGTTGAGCTTTGGGGAAAGCGGCGTTAAAAGGCAGAAGCGGATTACCATCCCGGCGCCGGCGGCAGCATTCGCGGCATCGTGTGTTCTCTGTTAACTCGAGGTGCCTCGAAGTGGACATATGATTTCAAGGCTAATCCGCTTGAATAAATATTTACTTAACCTTGATCTCGGTCACATAAGTAACGCTTTCATACAAGACGGTGGCGCTGACGTTGATAAGAGCAGTACAGCTGCGGATGATCGATAAATCCAAGTTTCGCGGGTTTGCCTAATGGCTAATTCTGGACTCCTCGACAAAGGTTAGTGATTATGAAATAAATGATGCGCGAGGCAACTTATACAAAGACTTATACAAGACACCGCCAATGATTAACCGTTACGTAAGCTTTGTGAGAAGGTGAATTAGCGCTATAAGTGAACAATGGGCAGAGAAAAGGAAAACAAATGCCTATACGTCCTTTCCTGGGTTCTTTATTTATTATCCTTGTTGCTGCTATTATTTCCCGCTAGATTTTTTTTTTTCGAAACCACTATAAAACCATTTACTCCAATGTAGGCGATAGACCAGATGTAAATTGTTTTCTCGCAGCTTGAAAACTGTTGTTGTTGTTGTTGTTGTTGTTGTTGTTGTTGTTGTAGCCTATGAAATCTTGTGTACTGCAACCATGATGTTAGTATAGCCGGCTTTAACGCAGCCTACGTCCCCATTATTCTTATATATATATATATATATATACTAAAGAATATGAATATGGCTAACCTACACATATATTTTTACTTGCTCTGTAAAGATTTTCTCTGATATTACTTCTGCAAGGACAGGAGATAATCTCGAATTTAAATTTGAGGAGGGGAAAGGGGTGAGCGTCTGTTAATAAAAGGTAAGGAACATGAATGGTGAATGGTTTAGTGAGTTTTTCTCACTCTCTCTATCAGTTTCTTTTTTTTTTTTTTGTTAAGGCGGGCGTCAGGAGAGTATTTTTTCTTTTTTGTTTTTTTTTTGGCGGTGGGGGGGGGGGGGGGGTCAATAAATTGCTCATCTAGAATGTACCAGTTTCTACCAGCGACTTTAGAAGTACGTTTATTTATTACCACGTTTTCTTCTTCTTTTTTTAATCATGCTTGATGTCTTTGTCATGCTTTACGCTCTTGACAGTTTCTCGTTATAGCGCGCGCCGGATTACTTTTATGTAAGAGCTGATATGCCGCTCTAACACCATCTCTCTCCAGGTCGCGGGTTCGATTCCCGGGCGGCGGCGGCTGCATTTCCGATGGAGGCGGAAATCTTGTAGGCCCGTGTGCTCAGATTTGGGTGCACGTTAAAGAACCCCAGGTGGTCGAAATTTCCGGAGCCCTCCACTACGGCGTCTCTCCTAATCATATGATGGTTTTGGGACGTTAAACCCCACAAATCAATCAATCAATGATATCTTTCTACTAGATGCTTTTTTCTTTGCTTTGCTTCTCTGTGTAGGTGAAAAATACACGTCATGTGCGAACAGCAACAACAAGGAAGACAGCAAACCGCGCATAGCAACGTCGAGACCGTGACGAGCTTCTCGCTGATTTTCCGGACGACCGCGAAAATCCAGAATGCGTCGAGTTTCTCGTTCGCGACGTTTCCTTCACACACCTGCGCGCATGCGCACTTCAGCGCAGTCCCCGCATACCACGAGCAGACGACTCGCTCGTTGCTCGCGGTGCAACGCTCTTGCTGTTTTTTGTTTGTTTGTTTGTTTGTTCGTTTGTTTGTTTTGACGGCGGGGGGCGTCCTTGGTGCTAATTTTACGTCACGCTCGTCGCAGCTGCCAGCGTCTGTACCCTGTGTGTATACTTGTTGCAAGCAGGCAACTGGAACATCGAGTGCAAATAGCAACGTCCCTTTTGGGGTCGGCAAACAAGCCCGCCGTCTGATAAGATAGTTGGGGCGTACAACGATGCGCCCACAAAAGGACGATGGCTCCCCCGTCCCTACCCCCAACTTAACGGCAATTTTGCGCCGGAGGGCGCTTAAATATATTGACGAGATAGCGACGCTGTTCCGTCGTTTTGTTTGTTTGTTTTTATTACGTATGCTCGTCTTCTGGCGCGACGCTTTTGTAAGTTTTTATCGCGACGTCCAGGACCGAGTCGTCGGGAAGCTAACGACCGTAGTGCAGACGGATGAGATGCAGAAAAAAAAAATTGCCCGCAGCTTTCCTCGGGGGAACACTGAGGAGGATGCGGAGCATATAATTGGTTAACGGGGTGTTAAAGTGCGACTTACTTGGGTCGATGGCTAAATTGGTTAACGTGGTTGTGAAATGGGGTGTTAAATTGCGACTTACTTGGGTCGATGGCTAAATTGGTTAACGTGGTTGTAGGAGGGGGTGTTAAATGAGTAAACACGTACACACGTATGCGAAAGGGCGGCGCTGGTCGAAGGGACGTCGATCATTGTGTTTGTGGATTCGTTGGAATTCATTTTACCGCGACCTTGGACGTCGACGCGACGTACAAACCAACCGACGAGCGGCAACTGAGCGAGCGAGCGCCGACCTTGAGTATATATACAGCACGACGGCGCATGCACTGTCAGCTGTTGAATGTTCTCGAAGCGCGACGCCACATGCGCGTCCACTGGAGAATCAGGAGAATTGTAGATGTCGAACGCGGTGTGTAGAGGAGGAAGGGTGCACAGATGGTGGAGGAGTGAAGCGCGCGTGGTGTGTAGAGGAGGAAGGGATGCACAGATGGTGGAAGAGTGGGCGACGGCGCGACGGCGCATGCGCGCGCGTCAGCTGTCGAATGTTCGAGAAGCGGTGCGTACGGCGCGGACGGCGCACTACAAGGCGCGAGTATAAGATGCTTCCGCATCTAAAAAGTGCGTGCATTCACGTTTGCAGTCCTTGAGAGGCTAATGTTGTTGCGTAGCGATAAACGACAGGACGTGGTTTTGATTCCCTAGGCCAGTGCGGCGCTGTATTTCGTTGAAGGCGGAGTAGGCCCGTTGAATAAATTCGCCGGCAGTGTGTAATTAATTGTACAGCGGCAGCAGCGTCACCAAGGGTTGACATGACGAGCCCTTGTCCCCCCCCCCCCTTTCTCTTTTTCGCGCCATGGCATACCGAATAGAGAGCGAAAAATTGCCATTCCAAAAAGTTGCCGCCACCCCCCCCCCCCCTCCCGCAATCAAGGTAGTGCCGCTTCCACACAAAATAAATTTCTAAATTTCTACCTACGTCCTTGTACAGTGGGCAGTTCTGGCGTGTGAAAATTCCGAATTTTTTAATATAATTCGTGTTGGCATAAGCGTATTCTTGTGTTTCCCGCAAAAAACAAGCTACCGTCTCAGTGACAACCCCCTACCCCGCCCATTGCAGAAAAAAAATTTACCTTGCAGAAAAAAAATGATATGCGGCTGTTGCCAAGTCCCTCGTATTCACCTCTATTCACCGTTGCTACAGTGGCTGTTGACAAACAAAATGGTACAATGTTATCATGCGTTGCTCTCTCGATCGCTGCCAAGCCGGTGGTGTGATCTATTTATGTAAGAGCATTTGCATTGCAAACGTTCGTAGAAAGAACTCGCGTCAGCGTATCAAACGCCGAGGATTGTTCCATACAACTCGAAACAGACTTTTTTTTTTTTCCCCCTAACCTGTTTCAAGGATTGTTTGACCCATCTGGAAATGCGTTTCTGGCGCTTCTCTGTCCTTATGGTTTGCGGTCAGGCATACGTTTCATATTAGTTAACTCATATTCACTTGGCAAGTGATTAAATTACGAAACATCGTTAAAGATTACGGTGCTGTTGTTGAGACCACGTCATAGTAGCATTCGCAGTTGCGTTCAATGTTCTTCCTTCATTCATTTACTAGAACGAATCTGAGAAAAGGTCATTCAAGCGCGAATTTCTTTTATTTTATTTTTTTCCCACAGGTATGCCTATCTGCGAACTTGCGCAGCCGCATGAGTTGTCACGTTCGAGATCATCATTAGTTGCTTATGTGCGACTACATCGTTGAAGTACGCCCAAGGGGTGATGCCACAGAACGCGCCCACGGAGAAAGGAATAACGAGAGCGTCATACTATCTGAGGCACTGTACATAGCAGCCAATGCTACCGTCGAAAGTTCTCACATCGAGTTTGTCTCCGAGGCAGTTCAACGATGGCTTCTCCGAGCGTCTCAGCCACCTCTTCACCGCGCGCAAAACGAGCGAGAGAGAGTGTTGTACGCGAAGAAACACGGTACAATCGGCATCCAGCCAATACGAAAACAAGCAAACGAAAGGAACCGTGGACGCCACGCAGTGGCAAAAAAGCACGGGCTAAAAGGAGTGTGCGAGAGAAGCAGGGTAAGGAGAGTTCACGTAACTTCCATACGCCGGCGTCGTTACGTGTATCACTTGTTCTTTTGTTCACGATGCACGACTGCGTCGCCGACTCGCGACAACATCAAAACAGGGAAGGGAAAAGTAAGATGGCGGGCGCCGCGCCGTGCTCGTCAAACGTGATGCAACAGCAACAAAAGGAAGTTCAAAACAAAAGCACGCACAACGGCGGTACATATGCTCTCCGCTGGTATCCGCCGCGCATGACCGCCGCTAGGTGCGCTCCAAAGCAGCGCTTCGTGAAGGAAACGGAGACTGACACGTGGAGAATGGGCATGATTAAGAAGTCCGCACTAGAGATCTATCGAACTTTTAAGCAGGAAATTGCCAAGGAAAGGATCTATGATTATACTCGGGGTAGTTCTCTACTGTTTGAGGCAAGGACGGGAGTACTGCGAACCAAGACATATCGGGCCAAATACGAAGGGGTAGACACAGTATGCACTGCGTGTGGAGAGGAAGAAGAAACTGCCGAACACTTGATAATGTTCTGTAAAGGGCTTCACCCTATAGTTCAGGATGATGGCGCAGAGTTTTTCAAAGCACTGGGATTTAGGGACAGCGAGGACAAAATAGACTTTAAGCGGGTAGATTTAACTAGAAGGAGGTTATCTGATTGGTGGCTAAATCAAGGCACGAGTGAAAATTAAACCCTTCACTGCGAAGTACGAATCCTCTACTTCATTATTTAAAGGAAAAAAAGATAAATGTAATGGTTAGTTCACTAAGTATTACGGCTAGGTGGCGTTAGCCGCCGCCCGATCTAAAGGGTACAGCCACATCCATCCATCCATCCATCCATCCATCCATCGAATGCCGTCTGCTCTCTCCGGCGTGCCAGACGATAACGTCATAAAGCCCGTACAGAATGCTCTGTAGTCGAAGAGCAGGTGGTGATATACGAAGAACACATGGCCGCGCAGGACGAGGTACCAACAAGAGAACGTCTGGGGAGATGAAGTAGCAGGCACTTGCAAATTCAAGGCACAGCTCCTACGTCTGGGCCCATAAAAACCGTCTGCGGAGGGAATAAAATTAACAAGATTCCTCATATATTCGTTCACCTATTACGACTAAGGGGTGGAATACATATACTGTTTTGTTTTTCAGTCGATGTCTCAATCCACACCATCTCCCTAAGCTTTTTGTACGCAGTCAGGAAAATGAAATTTGGCACCGCCAATGTCCTTCTCCTGCCGTTGCCGTACTTTGTACGGGCTGTAAAATATCCCAAATACTTAACGGCCGCATACAGTGCGGTTTCGTCTCTTTTTTTTTTTCTCCGGATTCAGCCGCATGTGCATAAGCGTGGCTGAATTGAGATTCCGACGGTTTCACTTACAAACCAGTTATGCCGACAGATGCGACATGTGTGTTTCACGTTTAATCGATTTGCGGTTAACCGTCGCTTTGATTACTCATATTCCTCTCCGCATCTCAATTTATATGCCGGTGAAGACACGAAGCAAATTACCTTGCTGCTACGAGGATACGCGAGCCTCATGTAGACTAAGTTAAAGAGACTTCAAAATGAAGCGGGGAATCGGTTCAGATTGATCGTTTCTTACTCTGAATAATATGAAGTCAGTAACTTCACCGTCACTGTTCTAATAATAAGGAAGAAAATCAAGGTTCAACTATATATATATTTTTAATTTGTGCCTGAATGTCCGGCACGCAGCATCACCAGAGAACATCTATAGACATTGTTTAGGGAGAGGAGGATCCCCTTCTGCCTGGGCTGTTGCACGGGAGCACAAAAGCTGACGTCACTATTTCGGCCCTGCATTTCTGGGGGGGGGGGGGGGGGGGTCGCGCATGTTAACAAGAGCCCAGAGGCGCTTATGACGGCGCCCAGAAAGCCTTCGTTGACACGGTACCCTGACGTCACCGATTTCAAGGTATTTTTCGTATTCTGATGAAACTATAGCTCAGCCAAATTTCCCAAAACTTCGTTTATCTATGGCCCCCTCAGAAGGAAATGTACCTCGTTTTCAGAGGCATATTGAGAAATTTTTTTCGGGAGTGGGGGCGGAGGATGGGTAAACCATAATATGTATGTTCGTGCATGCGTTTGTATGTGCGCGTGTAAATATATGCGGGCAACATTGAATATTTTCGGGAAGGGGGGGGGGTTGAACCCTCGGACTTACCCCCTTCCTTTCTTATAGCCTACGCCCCCGTTCGTTTTTACCGATTAGGACGTTCGTAGGCCCTATAAAAAGCCACGAAAACCTCTCACGTCACAGTGACTGGTGCGGAATTTCTCAAGGTGGCTTTGCCGCCAGCGCTTTCTTATAGCACGTTTTAGGGGGCGAAGCTCCTAAAGTCTCTCTTGGTACGTGATCGCCTAGTTCGATGACTCACTCAGCAGGGGAGGACGGACGGACGGATGAACGGACGGACATACGATTCACGGTTTACTGATAAAGCCCTCCGAAGCCTCGCCTTACTCATCATCATTCACTCCGTGGATATGCTGTGTTTTTTTTTTTTTTCGCTTACCAGGTGTCTCTCGGCAACAGTCGCAACTTCGATGTTTGAAGTCTATTCATAATTATTTGAAACGTACATCTTTTATCCAGTGGTTGAATGGGAAGGAGTGGTTGATTGATTGATTTATTTGTGGGGTTTAACGTCCCAAAATTACCATATGATTATGAGAGACGCCGTAGTGGAGGGCTCCGGAAATTTTGACCATTTGGGGTTCTTTAACGTGCGCCCAAATCTGAGCACACGGGCCTACAACATTTCCGCCTCCATCAGAAATGCAGCCGCCGCAGCCGGGATTTGATCCCGCGACCTGCGGGTCAGCAGCCGAGTGCCTTAGCCACTAGACCACCGCGGCGGGGCGAATGGGAAGGAGTGGTGAAAAGGCAACTGAATGCCTGATGATTGCAGCAATGCCCGACAATGGATAAACTTCGTATAGTGAACTAGTGAGTGAAACAACTCCATTAGGTCCACAATAGGTGCGAGTTAACTAGACATCACCTGGAGGCCCACTTGGAAATGGTAAGGCTAAACCTAACTGCCCTCGCAGTCATTTTTCAATACAAGAAGAGATCGTTTTCCTCTTTCGTACTCTATTTAGTGCTAACAATGCACTCTACGTGGAGCATACCGATCGATTCTGTTACCGCCTAAAAATAGGGTGAATATCAATGTTTCCATCGCTAATTACGCAGAGCTAGCATACGTGTTTTGACGAGCCCATCCAATGTAGCGAGCACCGTACACAGAGAACGGCACATAGAAACAACGCTTTACAGTCAAATGAAGGCTGGGCGACGGGGGGTAAATATAGGCAGTCCAGACAATGGCCAGACGCGCAAGTACGCTACCTCCTCACCACATTTCCCTCTCTCCCGTTGTGGTCGTAAACGGAGATTCCGTTTCACGAGCGTCAAGGTCAGCCCCAGTTCTGCAGCGCACGAAAAAAAGTGTAAATCAAACCGACGCGGAATCAGCGCCCGGGTTGAGCACTGGATTGCACTCGGTCAACATCACGTCCACGACAAAAAAAAAAATGCGTTCACTACACTTGGATGCGATGCACCCAGCCATATTTTGACGCAATAGAAGCCTCAACACAAGCACGTCGTCTAGAGAATCGTCGCATTAACGTACCCAAAACGACCGCACTTACGGACGAGAAATAAAAGACGGAAACTAGAAAATTACACTTCACTCGACATTTTAATTAATTGGGGTTACCAATTACTGCTCGCAGAACGTAATAGCTTAAAAGCGACTAATGTGATACGCGCAATTCGTTACCAGTGTCGCAGCCAAGAAACTTCTTTTTGCCACAATTCATGAATGTTAATGTTTTTGCTTGCATATGTACAAGCGAAATCGATAAAACACTTCAGAGATAGGGGTTTGGTAGGGGTGGGGGAGGAACTGCTGCTCATTATTACGCTATAGTTGCGTTCAATACTTAGCGTCTTTCATAACGACGCCTATGCAATGCGCCGAGAAAACGCCGGTGCAACACATGGCGCGTTTGGCAGCGTCTGCAAAGCCGCCACGTATGCAGAAGCATTAGGTCAATGGACAGACTTAGTGGAACGCCCGAAACAGCTTTGGAAATGGCTGGTAGACTGCGCCCGCCAAACTAAATGTATGACAGTACGTGAAAAATAAATTGTTACAACAGCCAGCACTGACTGGGCAGCCGGTTAGCGTTGCCAATTACTCCTGGGGTTACACGCACCAAGATTACTGAACAATTAATGTACTTTGATCACCTTTGACTTGCGACGCACAAATGTATACACGGGCGTTTCCATATTGACACCTACCTGCCCCACCCTGCTCAAGAAGCAGCAGCCGCGACCACGAAAAAAAAAAAAAAAGACTTCAGCTCAACACCTTCCTCTAAGCAACCTCTGCTGGTAATGCAACTATATCAAGTATGAAATGAAACGTTAGTCGGCAGCGACTGGAAAAGATGAACCGAACTAGCAGCCCAAGCTGCCCGACACAGCAGGGTGACGAACGGAAAGAATGAAGCCGAGTTGCTGAAAAAAAGTAGCACGCTTCACGTGTTTATTAAACGCACGAAGCATACATACCAGAAAGCAAAACAACAAAAAATGTACAACAGCCCTCTGAACAAGTAGGGAAACAACAGTTGAAGGCACACAAGTTCAGTGGAGAACCACTTCATGACAAAAAAAAAAAAGTCAGTAGTTGACGGCGTCGAGAGTTAGTGCACTACGATAAGTGACTAGGGCAGGCTACAGGCCTTGCAAGCTCACTTCTTAGCGACATCGCCGCTGCCTCCTTCGTGCTTCACTTCAATGGGGATGGCCTTCGGCTGCTCCTTGGGGGCGTTCTTGCGCGGAGCTTCGAGCGCCAGTAGTCCGTTGGGCTGGAGATGGCACTTGACGGACTCCGGGTCGACATCCTCCGGCAAGACGTAGCGTCGGGTGAACTCTCGCTTCACGTAGCAGCCGCGGTCGTCAGACTTCTCCTCGTGCTTGCCGTGGATGACGACGCAGTTGTCCTGCGTCTTGACGCTGATCTCTTCGGGGGCGAAGTGACGAGTGTCGACGTTAATGGCGAACTTGTCGGGCGTGCAGGCAACCGAAGTGCCTTGCTGGCGGGCGGGGCAGACGCGACCTTCGGACGCCTGTCGCGGCTGGATGTAGAAGCGCTGGTGGTAGAACGGCGGGTCGAAAAGCTCGCCGTCCAGGAAGGAGCCGCCGAAATCGTCGTCCAAGAAGCGCCTCACCAAGTCCGAGGGGCCCCAGGAACCGCGGTTGTTGAGCAGGGGGAACAGTGCCATTTTTTCGCGCGTTCGTAACCACACTGTGCGATGAGCGACGAAAATCTGAACCGGCAATGCGTGCAGACGCCCCTTTTTATGAGAGCGTCGTCTGCTTCGAGAGGAGCGCGAGAAGTTTCGAGAATCCGCGAAAAGTGAGGGGAAGAAAGAGCAATTTCAAAAACGCGATTGGTCAGCTCCCATCACGTGAAGAGAGGAGAGGAGCGGCGCGCGCGCCACCTCGAGGAAGCCGGTGGTAAACGTGAAACGCGGCGGCATCGTGTACGGCGGTGTTCTGCAATCCCCCCTCCCCCCCCCCCCCAAAAAAAAAGCGAATAGCCGGCCGGCTCTCGAATGTTCTCGCTCGTTCCCGACGCCTGTTGTGCGTTTGTCGCTAGCGAAACAGCAGTAAAACGGACATTTCGAGCTTCGGCAAATGTTGATTGCTACTACTGACTACTCGCTCGTTAGCAAAGGCACTTCGCACTCTGTATCATACATGCTCATGTGCAATACACTAGTACGTACTAGTACGTACATGCAATAAATACACTAGCACACATTCAACGTTCAAGCACGCACACAAACGTTACAAAGTGATTGACACCCCCTCCCCCATCCACCACCGCAGAATATAAAAATTCTGGCTACACCCCTCATGACTTACCTCATTTCAGTAGGTGCCTTTGTTGTACTACGATTAGGGTTGCCCTTATACATTAAAGAAAAAAGAAAACCGCACCGACTTGAAGCAACACAAGTTCGTTCTAGCACTGCATATACTTCATAAGACCACTCGGTTATTCGCCAAAAGAGCCATACTAGCAGATGAACAAGAACTGACACGGCGGTAATAATATCGGTTGTGTAGTAGGCCTGACGCAACCCTTTGTCAGAGAAATTGACACATTTCGCCACCGAAATATTCGTGTAGGAGGGGTGGCGGGAGTTCGTAGCTTCTTTTCAGTCGGGAATAGGCAGCCGGATGCAGCATTCACGCAAGCGAACCGCGTCCATGGCAATACGAGAACAGGCACAATCAGACCGATCCAATTTGGCACTGTAAGCTCAGTGTAGGGGGGGGGGGGGGTTATGCTAGCGAGTTCGATGCTTCGTTTTAATCTGGAATCTGGGTGTAGCAGTTATGCGAACCGTCGGCAGTTTCAACAAACGAGAGCATGCACAAATTTATACCCGGTTGTTTACCGTCGAGTAAACGCGACTATCGCCAGCGATAGTGTGCTAGACTCATTTGCGAAGCTAAGGCGACGCTACAGTGGAGAGCTGCTCAAGACGCCGTTTCTTTCCCAGCGCGAATGAAGTGGTTGCTAACGGAAATAGGATGAAATCATATCAGGCAGGAAGCCCTAAGGTAAAGAGAAGTGCAAACAAGCCGGTTCGGGCAGGATAATGCACATGGCTTCGTGAGCCGGCGCCCTTGACTATGGGGTTGAATAATCGGCTGTGTCCAACGTTACTAGTAACGTTGGCTGTGCCGAACCACGGCAGCAGTCCGGACTGCCGACGAAAACAACGAAGCGTTTCTAGAAATGAACACTTGTCAGTTTTATTGACCAGCACACAAAGAGAAACAAAATAAACACGAGCACTCTGGACGAGTGGGAAAATAAATACAACACAGAAGTTCACGGACAGTTTGTACACAAATGGTGACTAGGGGTGGGCTGGATTGCGGAAGCTCACTTTTAGAAGCCTTGGTGCTCCACTTGGATCAAGATGGACTTGATCGTGATCTCAAGTACGCAGCGCCAAACCCCCGACGCTAGCCTCTTCACTTTTTCTTCGCATCTCCGCTGGCACCTTCGTGCTTGATGGCGATCGGAATGGGCTTCGGCTGCTCCTTGGGGGCGTTCTTGCGCGGAGCTTCAAGGGCCAGGACACCGTTAGGCTTGAGGTGACACTTCACCGACTGCGGGTCAACGTCTTCCGGCAAAACGTAGCGGCGGGTGAACTCACGCTTAACGTAGCAGCCGCGGTCATCAGACTTTTCCTCGTGCTTGCCGTGAATGATGACGCAGTTGTCTTGAGTTTTGACGTTGATTTCTTCCGGGGTAAAGTGGCGGGTGTCCACGCTGATCGCGAACTTGTCCGGCGTGCAGGCGACCGAAGTGCCTTGCTGGCGAGCGGGGCAGACGCCACTGTCAGACGCCTGTTGCTGGTGGCGCGGCTGGATGTAGAACCGCTGGTGGTAGAACGGCGGGTCGAAAAGCTCGCCGTCAAGGAACGAACCACCGAAGTCGTCGTCCAAGAAGCGCCTCACCAGGTCCGAAGGTCCCCAGGATCCACGGTTGCCGAGCAGCGGGAACAGAGCCATTGTTCTTCTTGACAACGCTTCGCAACGTTTCCTCTTCAACGAACGATGCAAGTCTGAATTGGCGCGAAAAAGACGCCCGTTTATATAGCGAGCGTCGCGTTCTTCGAGAGAGTTCGAGACTCCTCGGGAAGAGAGGGCCGGCGAGGGAGAGAACCCGAGTTGAGAGAATGCGATTGGTCAGGTTACGTCGGCGTCTCTCAATCACGCTAGTTTCGAAACTCCACTTCGACACAGCAACCTGCTCTTGTGCAGTTTTTCTTAGATTTGCAAACGAGTGCGCCATCTGGGATGTGCAACCAAAAAGCGCATTTTGACGCTGCAGTTTTCGTGTTTATGGTACAGGTCAACGCAGCAAGAATTAGGCAAGGTACTTTCAAGCAAAGCCGAAAGGCACTGTGACCCAAGTATTAGTGTCTGCGAAATGTAAACCGTACAAATGGTAAAAGTAAACTCGGTGCTCACTGCAACAAGCCAAATGCACTCGACAACACAGACACGCAAAATTGTCGTTAAATGCTTTGTTTAATGTACAACAGATGGCGTCACAACTAGCAAACATTTTGTGTAGAAACGTTGTGGCGTTGGTATTTTCATACACGAAGCCAACTGATGGTTTCTCAACTTATACGATTGAATGACTCTGGATCACATCACGTGGTCTGCGGGCCCGCGCGCTCCGCGATCGCCGGCGCTATGAAAGCGGGGAACTCGGTTAGCGAGTCGAACGCGTGGTCGTGGGGGAGGGCGCAGGAGCTTCTCGAATGTTCGCATGTTTTCCCGTCGCGTCTGTTTCGCGTTCGCTCGCCGACATATGCAGGTGATCTTGGTATGCACGCATTTCAACAGCGTTTCACGTTAAAGGGATGAGAATTTCGATGACCATTTCTTGAGAAGCCTATTCCTTGTTTATTTCTCATTTCGTAACGGTCGCCTCGATATGGCGACCGTCTTTTACGTGAGCCATAGCAGCGCTGGAACATGGCCTTTCTTTTCAATCAGCGTTCCAGCGGGGCTGCGAAAAGGACTCGCGTATAAGATTCGCTGCTGCCACAGGCACAGTTTGGTACGGCTGCGTTGGTTCGTACTGGATTAGACGCTGCCTACCTACGTGCATACCTTTCGCTGCGCCGTGCATGTTTCGAAGTGCAACGCTGAAATAAGGCTTCATACCAGTACATACGATGCACTTGATAGGCCAGATATCGAACGCGCAATCATAGTCACGCAGGCAGTTTCTGCGACGGGCATTTCGCACTTCGGAGCCTATCCACCGGTGAAGCAGCTTTGTGCTGCTTTAAGCGTACGTTTTCATTCCTCGCTTAGAATACTGATGGACGCCGACCAAGGTGAAAAGTCACGTTCTTGATTGAATAAACGCTTTGCTCAGCTGCTACTACTGGCCCCGCCGCGGTGGTCTAGTGGCTAAGGTACTCGGCTGCTGACCCGCAGGTCGCGGGTTCAAATCCCGGCTGCGGCGGCTGCATTTCCGATGGAGGCGGAAATGTTGTAGGCCCGTGTGCTCAGATTTGGCGGCACGTTAAAGAACCCCAGGTGGTCGAAATTTCCGGAGCCCTCCACTACGGCGTTTCTCATAATCATATGGTGGTTTTGGGACGTTAAACCCCACATATCAATCAATCAATCGATCAATCAAGCTGCTACTACCGTGATTGCCAATTCACAACATAAAATGGCTTAATAGAAAGGAGGAGGGGTGCTGCGACAAACATTGCCCCCCCCCCTACCCCCAAACGTTGGAGGTCCATGTAGTAGGCGGCGTCGGTGCACATTAAATAGTGTCAGATGTTTCCAAGTTTCCGGAGCCTCGTCGTTCTGGCAAACAAAACCCAACTTGGGAGTTAACCTGAGTTACTTGCAAGGACAGTTATCGCAACATGGACAGACCGGTGTGAGTTATGACGTTTTCTGAGGCTGCACTTATATAGCACGATAAGGTGAATACTTGACAATTTCTCGGTGAAATTGAGGCGGTTTTCGATTCACACGTGAATGTGGAGTGAAGCATAAAATAAAAGTAATTCTTTAGTACAGACACACTAACTCCACGACCCTTTCGTCGAAGCTCCATGAGGCTCTGCGGAGCCCCGCTCTTTACGACCAAACCTGGGCGACCCAGCAAGCCCTTGACGTCCCTTCATGGGAGGCTTAGGCCAGGCCACCTAAACCTGTTGGTGTCTTATAATAAAGTTTATTTCTCCTCCTCCTAGTGTTACGTCTCAAACCAGTCTACAGCTTTGGAAATTTCGACAACCTGGCGTTAGTTAGGGCGTATACCCAAAGGGTAAACGACCTGCGAAAATACGTATAGAATTATCTCGTAACTCCCTGCCGGTACTTGCCGTCCTGACGACACATTTCATGACGCCATGTTCCCGTGACGTCAGAATGTCGTAGGCTCTTGATTGGCCGATATACGAGAGATATATCTGCCGACCCTGCTGTGCCATGCATGTCCTCTCTGCGCAAGCGCAGACAAAAGCGTGTCATCGAAAAGCGGGAAGTCGTGACTGGCACGACGCGTGTATACTGCCGACATCCCACCTGTTTTACGATGAAATAATGGGCGAGGAGGAGATGGATCTTGTACACGAAGGGTGGTGAAAGAGAGAGAGATAAACTACTGTCCTTTGAAATCGGTGTGGTTTAGGAGCCTCTTGAATATGAGCACACGGCTCTTTATAGCGTATTGCCTCCATCAAAATGCATCCATCCGGGGATTCCATTCCGTGCTCAGCGGGTAAGCATATTCGAGCACCATAACAACAACAACATTGAGGGTGGTGTAAACCATTCACTTTCGTTGATAGACAGGCATATCTTTTGCTCGTTAACAGCAAAATATCACCGTGGAGCGTTCGATGAATCGTCAAACTGTTAATCGATCATGCGAAAACAGTTAAGTGAAAAGAACCGGCACGGCTGCAGTTGTGCGTTAATGCAAGCGAGGAAGTGACATAGTACAAAGGCCAAGTGAAGCGTGCAGCTGCTCCTTCGCCGTCGACACTAAACGCACGAAGTGTTGCCCTGTTTGTTTTGAGTACTCGTGGTTGTCTACCGTTATGGTCAATGCTCCCGAACGACCTTGTCGCACTGCGACTGTTTACGACACGTGACCCAATTCTGGCCAATCAGCGCTCCCGAGACGCTTCTTCCCTTCGGTTCCGCCGTTTCGATCGCGTCTGCCGCCTCGGGTCCTCGGAGCAGACGACGTTGAGCCACAGCTCGGAGCAGACGTCTTTGGGTTCTTGAATCGCCGTCGGTATTCTCGAAGGCTATAGCCGAAAGGTAACATGTTATGTAACCGTTGTGATTCCTTCTGCTCGTATCAGAAAAACTAGGCGTTAGCGACAGCACTGTCGATCGATGGCATTAATACCATTGAATATTGTCAGCGCGTGGTTTTCATCTTGTGCATGGCAAATTTTGAAAATGTCAGTGAAGGGCAGGCGATGCCATCTGTATTGTTCACCACCTAAAAGTCAAGTAGTCGGATTGTGTATTCCTTCGTGATTTACGCTGCTGGCACTGGTTCGATTGCCGGTGCGGTTACCTCATTTGGATGAAGGCAAAAAAAGGTAATGTTACATTTCATGTTTAATTATCTCAGGTAATCAAAATTAACCTGGAGAACCTAACTATACAGAGCGCCCTTATGTTGTAAACATATGGTGGCTTTGGCATGTAACGGACGATTGAATTAGTTCTTATATTTATATTCCTGCTGGACCATGTTCTGTCGTAAGATTTCACCTGTATTTCTACATCCGCATTGAAAAGTATTGCATCAAGCCCAAGCTTCCCTTTGAAGCCTAGAGATGTGTAGGTTAACGGCGCAGCTGATTACAACCTTAGCCGGTGCGGATTTCTCCTATGCTACAAGGATGTCTTTTCTTGTATTTCTTTTACGTTCAATTTCTAGGTACGGAAGTTCGCAAGCTGCGATCGAGAGCAGCCACCCGCAGAAAAAAAACCAGCTGCGGCTAGCAGACGACCTTTTTCCTTTCTGAAGCAGACGACGCGCGACTGGACGAAAACAACAAGATGGCGCTGTTCCCGCTGCTGCAACGCAACCTGTTGGGCAGTTCGGACATGGCGCGACACCTCTTCGATGACGAATTCGGAGGCTCTTTCCTGGACGGCGAGCTTTTCGACCCACCGTTCTACCACCAGAGGTTCTACATCCAACCCCGGCACCATGAGTCGGTCCTTAACAGCGTCCGTCCTTCACAGCAGGGCGCCTCGGTCGCCTGCACTCCGGACAAGTTCGCCATTCGCGTGGACACCCGGCACTTCGCTCCCGAAGAGATTAGCGTCAAGACGCAGGACAACTGCGTCATCATCCACGGCAAGCACGAGGAGAAGTCGGACGACCGCGGCTGCTACGTGAAGCGCGAGTTCACCCGCCGCTACGTCCTCCCCGAAGACGTCGACCCCCAGACCGTCAAGTGTCACCTGACCCCGGGAGGCCTCCTGGCGCTCGAGGCTCCGCGCAAGAACGTCAAGAAGGAGGAGCCCAAGACGATCGCCATTGACGTTAAACACGAGGGCAAGAAGGCCTAAGAGAAGCAGATGAAGTTATACAATAGCTCTATGATGTCTGTTGGTCTCTATAGTGTACTGGTCTCTGTGAAAGACACAGGTTCAAGAACTCGCTCCGTGACAGATGATCTAGCCATCCGTATCTCATTCGCTAACCGGAAGGATCCCATAGAACTGGTTAGGCTTATAGAATCTATCCCATGCTGTTAACGCGGTTTATTTATTTACTAGTGTGCTGGTGGTGCAGACATATACTGAACTGGCGGAGTTTTCCCGTATCTCTCGTCCAAAATAGCGATTAACTTAGTTCTAGATGAAGTTAAGAAGGCTTACGTAAGAGAGCTCACTCTGTGAGATGAAGGACGGCAAAGTCAGCTCAGCCATTCGGAAGAAGGAAAGCAGGCTTAACTGGTTAGGCTCATCCTATTCGCAGTGTTAATTGCTTACAAACATGGGCGGTGGGTGTGCGGTGCAATGTGGTCTGGTTGCTCGATGTGTATACCTCTAGTTCATGCATTTAATGTTGAGCACACACCGTGACACTCTGCGGCTAATGGCCGCAGAGTGTCACGGTGTACAGGCGGTTATACGAAAGAGTGTCACGGTTATACAGGCGGGAACACGAAATGCGAGAAATAAGTGTGTTTGGGTGCAGCATAAATATGATCCATAGTTCCAAGGGCGCTGGACGTATTCTCATTATATCAGCGATGTTTCCGCCCAGCGCGCGCGGTTTCAGGCGCGAGCCCTCTGATGTGAAACACTATCGATTTACTGAGCCGGCGCGCCGCTCTGACCTTCGGGAAATGGCGGGAAAGCGACTCCCAGGTCAAGGACATACGAAGTTGTGTTCTCCGGCTACCGTGTGCATGCATTTACAATATGCGCACCGCCAAGGATGCTTACTACGGAGAAACGCTTGCGTATCCGTTGTTTAACTTTCGGTCGTGGCTTCCCTGTCCCACCTCTTTGCCTTTCGAAGATGCAATCCTTCCAGCTTGCGCATCAAGTCGAGTTTTAAACTAGTCTGCAAAGAAGTGTTCCTTCCAGGTCGCTGTTCTGCCTTTCTGTAATGGGATATTGACATAGCCCGCTCTACCACTTCTGACCGAACTCGCGTATATTGTATTTGTACTCTACTCACAAAACTCGTTAATGTTAACCAACCCGCTTAATGACAGCCCCATACTGTCTTTACTCAGTCCAGTGATTGAATCGTCCACCTACCCTCTGTCTCTATCGCCGCATGTTGCGTGCCCTTCCAGAAATCCCTGCCTTCGAATCGATCGCATACCTATTTACACTGATCGATACATCCTACAAGCCAAACTGCCTAAGGTTATCTGTGATATTGGGAGCGTAAAATAAAGATATAATGGGGTAGGACGTGAGAAGGAGTTCAGAACGTCATAGAGCCTACGGCGTCAGCGTTTACACATATGCGAGTACAAACTGGAGTAGACTGGTGGATGTCTTCAGGGACGACAGGATCGTTTAGCGTGGTCGTGTGTCATTACGAAGATACATCCATGGAGAGAAAAAAAACGAAATAAATAAGGCGCCCTCAGGAATAGGTACAGGTCAGGTACACCTGGTTAGTTAGCGAAGCATTGCTACAAAGCCTCCTTTAGAGGATATATTTTTCGTACATAAACAGATGTGGTTCTTGAATGAGAAGCCTCAAGCACTTGTGTTAAGGATGTCCTCTTTTGAGGTTCAAGATACTAAAGGCGCCAGAGAATGTTCGCAAAGTTTGCGGTGATGTTTTGAATGCGTGGATTTATATAATTGCGTATGGCGCAGCGCAATGAGCACGATTGAATTCTGGCCCCGCCGCGGTGGTCTAGTGGCTAAGGTACTCGGCGGCTGACCCGCAGGGCGCGGGTTCGAATCCCGGCTGCGGCGGCTGCATTTCCGATGGAGGCGGAAATGTTGTAGGCCCGTGTGCTCAGATTTGGGTGCACGTTAAAGAACCCCAGGTGGTCTAAATTTCCGGAGCCCTCCACTACGGCGTCTTTCATAATCATATAGTGGTTTTGGGACGTTAAACCGCACATATCATTCATTCACGATTGAATTCTGTGATAATCTGTATTGTCCGATCAACATTCGAATTTCAGTGCGATTTGTCGATAATACTGAAGCACTTGTTAGCAGAATATAATTTGTAGATTTAAGGGAAGCCAATGCACCGATCATATACGGTAGCTTGATGTGCATTTTAAGCGATGTCGGTAAATTCAAGAGCTTAGCCTGGACGATAACCGCACGCGCCGATAATCGGCCTTTTGAGGTGTTTGTCAGCTACCTATATCGTCCGAGGGAAGTGTGAGATGCGTGTTAAAATAAATGCCTCAAAACTGGACAGAGCCAGAATGACACCCGAGAAGTTTCTTGGTATTTAACGTTAGTCTCCTGGTCTGCACCGAAAAAAAAAAAAGAAAGCTCTTTCCAAGAACTATTCAATAAATGTTGATTGAATAAGGTTGCGTCAGGTGACGATAAACCGACAGATCTGTCACAGTGCCATATAGATGCTTGGCAAGATGTGCAATCGTTGTTTCATCGCTTATCCCCAAGACTGTCTTAACAGTTCGGTTTTAGACAAACTAACTTGTATCGTTACGTTGCATTGCATAATTCGGTGGCCATGGAGCTGCCCTAACCGTCACTTCACGGCAATCATATCGCAAAAGGAGGCGTTCACGTCACGTAGTGTTGATAACGTTGTCGTGTGGTGGTCAAGTGTTTCGTCATGCGGTCATCGTGACAAAACGTCACGTGGTGGCGGCGCACGTTGAACGTAACGATGACGTCATTGTGACCGATATCCACGTGACGATCTCATACAGTGACCACAAACAAAATGTGTGACGTGATTTCTCACGACCTTGTGAGTCGTCCTGAAGTGGTATTGACTGTTTCTGCACCTGACTAATTCGTGCCGTGTTACAAACTAAAATTATGTCACGGAGCGAGTTCCCTTAACCTATTTAAATACTGTACCTCTCCCAGCCAACCAATCGCCAAAGCCACTATTTACTCGCAATGTACTGCCAAATAAATAAAAAAAAAACAGAGTAGCCTCTTGTTCGTGCACAGACAACCACTTTATGTAACCTATCTTTTTTTTTTTTTGATGGCCGAGAAATAATTTTAGTGTTTATTCTCGACCATAAAGCACTAAGTGCACGGCGTGTGTTTTTGTTGAAATTGTGGTCAGACGCAGATCTGGCATGTTGTTGTTGTTACGGGTCGAATAAACGTCATTGCTGCCCACAATTAACGCCTCGTTTCTGCTTGCCATGATGCCATTCCTTCATGAAGTAAAGACGAAACACATTTGTTCCAATCTTGACCAAACGAACATCTTCGACTCGTAATTGGTGAGTAGATCTGGCAGGAATCGAAATTCCTTTATTCCGAATCGAACCATGAGGAGGCGTTCAGCCCGTTTGAGTGCGCGATGATTGGGTAGAAATCTACGTGTGACACACGGGCACGAGTCGTAAACCAAGCTGCCACCGGACCTGATACAATCATCACGCGCTTGAACAGACAGTCAAGCTCTGTGTATTCTTGCAGAGTACAACTCCAAACGCATTCCTGATAACAAACGAAAGGCGCGTCGGAGAGAAAAACGTAACACTAGATGAAGCAAAAGATGTAACTAGCTCCGATAGAACTCAAGGTTCCTTCGATATTACAAGCTATCGTACAAATCTAAAATCACCAGCAAGTCGAACTACGGTAGTCGATAGAGTATTCACGTTCAAATCAAGAATATACGACGCTCGAGTAATAGTACAGCGTTTATTCGTATACAGCCACGTCGCTGGCTTCGTAGCAGACGACGCCTCCGAATTTGCGAGAACGTACGAGCAAAATCAGCGGGCGCGAAGCGGAAAAAACAAAGTCACGTGAGTTAAAGCGACCAATCCGATCGTACTCGCAGCTTCGCTTTATTCTAAACACGACAGATGGCGCAGCGGCGCTTAAACGCCGCTGCGTAAAACAAGACTAACAAAAACAAGAAAACAACCGCCGCTCGCGGACAGAAAGAACATACGAGAAAAATCGCGAACCCTCTCCGTGCCTCCGCGCCCAAACAAATACCACGTGACACCCCCCGACCAATCACAACGCGTTATCGGTAGTTCGGTGACTCACCTGTCTGGATCTTTCTGGAAGCAGACGACGCGCTATATAACCGGCGTGCGCCGGCCCGTTCTATCAGATTTGCACTGAATCCCTGCGTTGACAGTTCAGTGTGCGCTTCACAGCCAACTCGCAAGCATCATGGCTCTGTTTCCCCTGCTCAGCCGTGGCTCCCGGTGCCCCTCGGACCTGGCGAGGCGTTTCTTCGAAGACGACGACTTCGGCGGCTCCTTCTTGGACGGTGAGCTGTTTGACCCGCCGTTCTACCACCAGCGCTACTACATCCAGCCTCGGCATCACCGTCAGTCTTCCGGCGGCGTTTGCCCCGCCCGCCAGCAGGGCACCTCGGTCGCCTGCACTCCGGACAAGTTCGCCATCCGAGTGGACACCCGGCACTTCACTCCCGAAGAGATCAGCGTCAAGACGCAGGACAACAGCGTCGTCATTCACGGTAAGCACGAGGAGAAGTCCGACGACCGCGGCTGCTACGTGAAGCGCGAGTTCACCCGCCGCTACGTGCTGCCCGAAGACGTCGATCCCGAAACCGTCAAGTGCCACTTGCAGCCCAACGGAATGTTGGCCCTCGAAGCACCGCGCAAGAATGCCCCCAAAGAGCAGCCCAAGGCAGTGCCCATCGAAATCAAGCATGAAGGCGCCAGCGGTGATGCTCTGAAGCAAAAGTGAACAGGCTGCTGCTGTTCGCATTTCGTACCTGGGACTCTTTTTCTCTAAGGTTGTGTGCGAACATTCCTGTGTTTGTATTTTGTTAGTGAAGGCCGGCCTTCGTTATGAGTGTTTCCATTGTGAGAGAGTTCACTAGTGTCTTTTTGTGTGTGAGCTACTTAAGTTATCAATAAAAGAGGCATTATTTTTCACACCTGACTTGTTTTTGACCCAGTATTACAGCTGCGGCGTGGCTCGGGATGTGACGCATTGCGATCACGTCATGTTGCTGTTTCAACTGTGCGAACAGCCACCACCGCAGTTATTCAAACAGGATAGTTGTGCCACCATTTCGAAATACCGGTACAAGTGCACCACTTGCCGGGCCGACGCGTTACCTGCGATCATGAATGCGAGACGCGTTTCATTATCGCAGTGTTCGCTGTCATTGACCGAGTTACCTTTGCTTCAGTAACGGGAAACATTTGCTACACAAATCGGGCAGTCGTGTTGCCCACTGTCGTCTGTGAAAATTACCAACTCAAACACCGTTCGTATCTTGAACTCCTTTTTTTAGTTGATTTACGGACCGAGAGGTGGCTCGGCAATCGCTAAGTTCTATACGTAGGCTGGAACACATATGTGCTCACACGGTTACAAATGGCAAAGCCACAAATCAACCATCACATCATGCACATTGTCGCGTATTGTGTACAATTTCGGCTTAAAAACGCGAGCTACGTCCCGCAGCTTTGCTCCAGTGTACTATGTGAGGCCCCCCAACATCAACAAAACTGGGGATAAAATTTTTCTAATTCCACGTCCGGTCGCGTAGCTGTGCGTTGTACTGTCTGAACAGCTGCGGCAGTTCGTTTTCTGTGATCACAGCGGATACCGCATAGACTTATGGCAGATAAGCACTACGGAATGCTTTTGTCTTCTTTCTTGTTCCCTTTTTTTTAGACATTTGGGTATCCGCTTGGATGGAAACAGGATGCGTTTAAAGTGCTATTGTCTTTGGCTACATCTGCAGTGCGCAAGACATACGAAACAGACACCGGTTGGATTAGAGTTTCTCACATGTGAATGGTTGCTCGAAACGTCGATGAAGTTTTTTTTATTAGTATAATTCGTAGGTTATGAGGTCGTGTTCGCGTTATTAAAAATAGTGTTGCACGCAGTTATTTTTTTCTCTGTCCTTCACAATACAACCTCCTGTAAATATAAATAAATTTGCAGCACCCATGTTAGGGCTTTCTTGAATACCGCAACGGAGCGCTTAATGTTCGAACAAAACTGCCGAAGTAAAGTGAAGGTTTGCGTTTTACAATTACAATACTTGATTACAATGAACAATGCGATTGCGATATATATATATATATATATATATTCCAATAACTTTTTAGGATAATGTATCCAGATGATGGCGAAAACATTGAAAATGCAGTTGGTGTTTTTTTTCCACTAGTCAAACGGGGCCAAATATTGCCGATGATTGTGAGATGGAGATATATGTCTAATGAACTAAAATGGTGAACTGCAACATAGCTGTGGAGTATAAACTTCACGACGTAAAATGTTGCTGTTAAAATAGCGACAATTTCAAGGACAGAGAACTGCGAATATTAAGTATCCCGAAGTGACTTTCAGATAATAAAAAAAAAATGTCAGAATGTGCAAGTAACACCAGACCAGAGCCCTTGAACTCCGTTGCCGGCGGGGAGCACATGCTCTGAACGCAGCAACTGTCGCATCAGCAACACCCGATAAGACGACGTGCTATCTAGGCTAACTTGAGAGTATAACATGCGATAAGTATGCATTGTTTGAACGAAAAAAAAGAAGAAATATACAGACAGAGTAACTGTCAAGTTGCATCATCTTGACCAGCATTCAGTGGAATTGGACGACGTACTATTGGAGCAAGTATATGACGTCTCGCAAGATTTACTGCTCAAATCGGGCTTCGACATCTGTCGACAGGTGAGTCATTGGTCATTGGTAAAATAAACAAATCGTCCGACGTTACAGTTGCTGGCGTAAATTGTATATTGGAGTAGCCAGCCAAAATAAAATAAACCACTTTTCTTTTCTTTTTTTTTTAAGATGAAAACCTTATATCCCCATAAAACGCGAAAAACGAGAGTTTCGGAACAGCGCAACGCAAAGCTTTACGTTTACGTTGCGCCTGCCTGGTACGCTAACCTCTCGCGGGCCCCCGTTGAGTGACGAACGCTAACGCTACGCCCGCAAGCTTCGCGTGCGCTATTCTAAAACACCCCACTGGCCGGCGTCGGCGTTAACACGAGTGGTGCAAACATTCATCAAATCATCATGCAACCATTGGAAATCACCATGACGTCACAGATCAACGATATTTGACGTCGTCATGGCGTGACATCATCACAAGGCATCGCAGCTTGGTTAGAGGTGGCCAGATCACGGAGACGGTGCAAAACTATAGTTAAATGCACCAATCTTGGAGGTCATTAAAAACCACGTTGAGGGCAGAAATATTTCATCGGTGGAAGGGGGGGGGGCGTGGGGGCAGGAACAACACATCATCTGAGAGGGGAAGAAATATGGATTGCACCTTCCAGTCGCCTAAGGTGAGTGCATAAGTGACCCTGCGAGCATTATTCTCGAGACAGGGCACGTGCAACTTTTTCAAGAAGAACTTGTTCTTGCATGGGTTGCGGCCCGAGATTGCTCACCTTGTTAATTCTGGCGCAAAGCCAGAAACGTGGAAACAGACAGAGTAGTGTTAAAATTTCAGGGTTATGGCATCACTCAGGTGTCAACACGGCGCACCGCAGATTGAAGGCCAGCATTTCAGAGCAGCGAAGATCGCAAATCTGAAAGACACGTGGCCTAGTGCACCTTCCATGTGCATATCGAAAAAAAAGAACTTGATTTTATTAAGCGGGGCTAACAGAGTGGCTAGTCTGAAACGACATTCAGGAAAGACTTCTTTGAACTCGGAAAAAAAAAAGGAAAATCCAGTATCGTTTTTTTTTTGTTGACGGGATAGCTTAATATTCACGCACCTATGCGTCGGGACGTTTTTCATGTAATCTTCATTTACAATGCGCCTATGCGTTCCTCTATGTTGTGTGTGTGCACATACATACATACATTCATTCACTCATACATACATACATACATACATACATACATACATACATACATACATACATACATACATACATACATACATACATACACATGCATACATACACACACATACATACATACATACATACATACATACATACATACATACATACATACATACATACATACATACATACATACATACATACACACATACATACATACATACATACATACACGCATACATACATACATACATACATACATACATACATACATACATACATACATACATACATACATACACATGCATACATACACACACACATGCATACATACATACATACATACATACATACATACATACATACATACATACATACACATACATACACACATACATACATACATACATACATACATACACACACATGCATGCATACATACATACATACATACATACATACATACATACATACATACATACATACATACATACATACATACATACATACATACATACATACATACATACATACATACACACGCATACATACATACACATGCATACATACATACATACACACATGCATACATACATACATACATACATACACCACTGTGGAAAATAAAGCGTTTGTTGGAAGTTAACGATGTGTCAGGGTCGCTTTTCATCCTTGTGCCTTTGTGCGCTATAAAGTTAAGAACAGGCATCCCCATCCGGTTTTTACTAAACAACAGGCGCGAGTCTGGCGTCGGGTACGAACCGACGCGTACTCCCCCTTAACAAAGAAACCACCGCACAAATCCCACAACGTACTCGTGCAGCTGTCCGTGGTGTGGGCCAACTCTCGGCAACATTACTCAGGAATGCGAATCGTGGCCTCAGAGACTAATTCCGCTCTTTTGGGGACAACATCTTGAGCGAGGCAGTGAGTGGGAAAAACCAGCTGACTCAGCTCGACCAAGCTCGGCGAGCTAGCCACAAACGCCTGTGAATCCCTGGACTACAGTATGTAGATATATTTCTAGACTCTGTACCTGGACTGAGGACCCCACCCACTTGCCCAGATACCATTTAGCGAATAAAAAAATCTTTTTTTCTCATCATCACCGTCATTTTCTCATCTATTAGTAAACCTCTGATAGTGAAATCGACGACCCTACAGTTTTCAGAGACTAATTTAACAGTATAAACTAGGGCCATACCCAAGATTTTTTTCCGGGGGCTGTTTATTTTCTACTATCACACGAAAAGTTAAAGTTCCAAAAAAAAGCGGTGAGAGGGGGGGGGGGCATCATAACCGTCTCAATTTTCCTCTAGTTACGGCCCTGGTCTAAACTAACTGATTGCCCCACCCAGGTGGTCTAAAAGGTAAGGTACTCGACTGCTGACCCGCAGGTCGCGGTATCGAATGACGGCTGCGGCGGCTGCATTTTCATTGGAGGCGAAAATGCTGTACGCCCGTCTGCTCAGATTTGAGTGCACGTTAAAGAACCCCAAGGGGGTCGAAATTTCCGGAGCCCTCCACTACAGCGTCTCTCATAATCATACGGTGGTTTTGAGACGTTAAATCCCACATATCAATCATAAATTAAACTAATTTGTTTCGTCACTATAGCGCTCCTTAATTGGTCGCGTTTCAGGGTGCGTGAGGGCTGCGCCCTGTTTCGAAAGAACGAATTAGGTGACTTTGCCCACTCCCTCGCTATGCTATACAGCGTGAGTCATGTCTACGTTGGCCCCCTGTTTTTATGTGTGTGACTTTGCCCACTCCCTCGCTATGCTATACAGCGTGAGTCATGTCTACGTTGGCCCCCTGTTTTTTATGTGTGTGACTTTGCCCACTCCCTCGCTATGCTATACAGCATTTTCATGTCTACGTTTGCCCCCTGTTTTTTTGTGCGTGACTTTGCCCACTTCCTTGCTATGCTATACAGCGTTTTCACGTCTACGTTGGCCCCCTGTTAGTTACACAGTTGTTGCCTATGCGAAGTGACAGCTGCTACGCGATAAGCCATTGTCCTCAACGCGGGAACGCGCTAAGAAGCAAAAGTGGCAGTCGTTATCGGTCTGGCCGAGCGCAAAATATTGATGCT